CCCGTCACTTGAAGGTTAAGTGATGTAACCAAGGTCGCTCAGTGCATCTATGTGAAAGCTGGGAACATAATTGAGGAGTCTCAAGTCTTGCTCTAACAAAAGTGTCTCCCAGTGTTACCTCTAGCCCTTTTCTGTCGATCTGCCCTCTGTTGGAGGAGCGTATCACTTCAGTGAGGAAAACTTTATTTGGGGCTTTGGTTATGGAAGCATTTCATTTAGAAGCTGCCTGTGATTTTAAGCTTATTGCTAGGACAACTGAGCAAGCTAATGAGAAAAAGAACTGGCCAGCAGAAAGTGTTGTGCTGTATTAAAAGAGAAGTGGATGCATTGTATGGTTTCAAGGATGTATTTGGTAGCCATGTTGGTCTGAGACCAAAAGAAATGCAAAACTCTTGGTTCAGAGATGGTACCTTTTATTAGACCAACTAAGAAATCCCCCAAAAAATCTTTCTTTGCAAGCTTTTGAGTGCACACACCCTTCTTCAGGCTGAGGGAAAATAAAAGATGGTAGAAGTCCCCCATGGGTAGAGAACAAACTTCATTTTGCACAGAGGAAGCTGAAGGTAGATGTCTGTTCCTCTGGGTCCATGAGAGTTCCTTTGTGGGACTTGCTCTTTGATGTGCAAATAAGGCAGGATTTATTCCCTTGGGGGTATCAGGTAGCAGAAAGGCAGGGAGGTATAGAAAACTTTTTGTTGTTTAGCATTTAAGTTTATAATTCCAAAATTGGCTAAAATTCATCACCTCCTTGTTTCAGGGATGTATTTGTTAGCCATGTTGGTTTGAGACGAAAAAGAAATGCAAAATTCTAAAACTCTTGGTTCAAAGATGATACCTTATTTTATTATTTTATTGTCCCCAAAAGTTTGCAAAGAAAGAAGTTTTTTCCCTCCGATTTCTTAGTTGGTCTAATAAAAGGTATCATCTCTGAACCAAGAGTTTTAGCGTTTTTTGCAATTCTTGTATGGCTTCAAGCCATTTAGCAAGACATTTCTATAGTGAGCTCCTTCTATGGAATGGAATCAGAACTTGTGGTAGAGGCAATTATCGTTTATTAGACCAACTAGATTTTTGCAAAAACAATTCTTTAATTGAAAGCTTTCGGGCATCCTCTAATACAGCTACAACCTGGATACCTTCTACAGGAATGGACACCTGTGCTTCAGTGGCAATAGATAGCTGTCTTGTGGTTGAAGTTGATAGGTCACGTACAACTTTAAACTACTTGGCCAGACATGCCTGTGTGTTTTTAGCAACCTGCTGTAAATTGAGCTAAGGGTCCTAGGTATAATGCATGATGCTGTCAATTTTCTCCACAGACAGTACTACTGGTATGATGAGCGGGGAAAGAAGATAAAGTGCACGGCTCCTCAGTATGTTGATTTCGTCATGAGTTCGGTGCAGAAGCTAGTGACAGATGAGGATGTCTTTCCTACAAAATATGGTACGTTTCCTTCTGGGGAAGGCCCCCTGTGAATCCCAGTAAAAGGGATTAGGGTCTTGAACGAGACATATATTTTTCTTTGCTTAGCTTTGATTTGATTCAGGCTAATTGTTTTGAAATGTAGTAAAATCTCTACCGCAGGACTTTCTATGGATTGCTTTTTGACAGGAGTCCAAGATGCTTCTGGTAGCAATAAGAGGCATACCCCGTTACTTTCAGTAACGTGCACTGGAGTGAAACTTCAGCCTGATTTATCGGCCTTGTAGCCTCTCCTGTGAAATTTCCCTTCCTTGTACGCTCTTGCATGACTTAGGGCCTTGTTTCATTGCTTCAGTAGACAACAAGGAAACCCAAGCCAATTCAGTAATGGTAGCCTAACGGGAAATAAACACGTGATATTAGGGCAGATAATCTTCAAAGTAGGACTTTCTAGGAGTCTGAATGCCAGAGGCTGTAGGGCAGTGGTGTAACTGGGTGGAGCGAAGAGGCAAGAGGGGCAACTGTCCCAGAAGTTGACCGGGGGGTGGAAAAAAAGCAGCTGCTGCCATCAGCCACATCTTCATGATCATGGCAGCAACCAGAAAGGCACCACTTCCTCTTTGCTCCAGGTGCCTGGCCACATCCCAATACTGCTGCTGTAGGGGGGGAGTGGGGCAAGAAACAGGCATCAGTCTGAATTGGCCCAGCATAAATATTCTTTTCATTAGCATCTGCTGGGTGTTGCTGTGAGAGATGGGATACTGGGACCTTCTAGGACCTGTGGTCTGTGCCAGTCTGGCACTTCTTATGTCCTTATAAACACAGCCTACTTAACTCCTGGTGTTTGTGACACGTTTCGTGCCATGCATTTAATTTGGGAAAAGGCAACTCGCTTATCAGAATTGTCAGATATTTTCAAAAAATGGACCATATCTTTAGTCAACGTTGTCCAATTTCTAAGTGCCCAGGAGCCAAATGCCCTATGGGCTACACCATGGTGAGCCTTGGCCCTCCTGGGCTGCACACTGCGGGAGCGTCCTGTCCGTCTGCACTGTCTGGCCCTCTCCCCACACTGCACTTTGTCCGAGTAGCCACCCTCAGGCTCATGCTCAGCTCCCTGTACTATGCTGCCCTTCCCCCTGGGGCAGAGGCAGGAAGCAGAAGCCAGAGGGAAGGGGAGCCTAGATATTTCTTCTGCTGTTGCAGCCAGACTGGTGGGAGAAGTGGAAACAGGGTAGGAGCCCAGGGGCTGCGACCTCACCCCTCGTGGGTCACCAGTTGGACAGCTCAGTCTTGAGTCATAGGGACAGCTCCTATCAGACACTCAGCTGCAAAACCATGCTGCAAAATTAGGACTTGCTTACAGAATTAATAGTGGAAGCTCATTTAATTATTTAACCATTCTGCTGGTGGCTACAGTTGTATTGGAAGCCTTGTGCTACCACCTTCTCCCCCTCATTGTTGCCAGGCAGCTTTCTCTTTCCTGTTTCTAAATGCAGTGATCCAGGTGGTAGGGCTATCACCAGGCAACCTGTCAAAGGGTTATAGATTTAATAACACATTGATACACGTCCCTGAAGATGAATCCTAGCAGAGATGAGGAGAACCTGGAGACCTGCAGAGTCCTTTGCTCCTTAGCCCAGCATATCTTTTTGGCTGCTTGACAGATGTGGCTGTCAGATTGTTTTGTAGCCAAGCAACTTACTGGCTGATGTGCAGGTCAAGCTGAAGGGGAAAACGGACCACCTGCCTCCATTACATTCCTAGGGCCCTTGTCCCACACTATACCTTGGGATGCTAATAATGAGTGTACAGAGCCAGAGGAGAAATTTAGCAGTGGAGCGGTCATGGTGCCATTTACAAGGACTTTGGCTGTGGTCAAATTTCTGCCCCAATCCACATGTGGTTGGTGCACCCAGGACTCTGCATGGGTATGTCCAAGGGACAGGATACCATTTAAATTTAGCTTGTCTAAACTTACGTATTAGCTTTCTGGGAAACCTGGGCCTTTTTCCTAAGACTGATGGCCTGTAGCTCTACGACACACTCCAAAAATGAAAGACGTAGTTACCCATGTTAGCCTGAGGTCAAGCAGAAGGTAGGGTAGATTTTCACACTCTGGAATACCAGAATTGTGATTCTAAATGAGTGCATTTAGGTTCTGCAGCACGCTATACATTTTGCAGCAAACAACTTTGTGGTCTGGATGGGCTGTGTACATGCTAGTACCTAAGTTGGTAATGTGTGTAGAATTTCCTTCTGTCAGCTCATTCCTCTGCTCTGTGGATCCCTCAGCTTTCACATACATATTTGTCCCACCCATGCTAAAGGCCATGGGAAAACCCATGCATGGGTGGACTGAGACTACAGGTAGGGCAGAAATGCAGTTGGAAGTAGGGGAGTGGCAAAGGTTGAGACACAGAGAGGCATGTCTCTGCTGTTTTCCTAGTTCAGGAGTTGGTATTAGTGCAGCCATCCCAAAGAACTCCAAAATTCCCAAGTCAGGCACCCTGAATTAGGCAATTAGAAATGTAAGTGGGGGTACTTCTTTATATGGTTCCTAGCTCCTGAGTCTTTAGCGTTCATTCTTTCTGGCCTCCTCTGCAATGAGGAAAACAAGAAGCTTATGTTTAAAAAAAGAAAAAGAAAAGAAAGCCGAGACTTTCTTTGCAAAATCTCTGAAGTCTTAGATTAAAAAAAAAAAGACCAGGAAGTCTCATTGAACGGGGAATTGGGTGTGGTACATCAGCTGATGGGCTGTTTTCTAGGTGCAGAAAGCTGAAGATAATGCCCCAGTGTGGGGATTGCCAGCTTGCAGCACATTTATTGCAAGTATCATGAGCCACCTGTGTGGCACATGTCAGATTGAGCAGGGAAAGGGGATTAGAATGGCACTCAAGGAGGGTGTGGGGCAACCAGAAAGGTTGTCGTGCAATCTTGTTTCTGCTTTACTGCTTCATAGGCAGCAGATGGCGGCACTAGCCTGCTTAATGCCCAGGAGCAGACGGAAATGACAGAGTTGACTGCCTAGAGCTCTTCTGCATGTAATGGCTTTTTCTTTTCATCTCTCTCATAGGCAAGGAATTCCCCAACTCCTTCGAGTCCTTAGTGAAGAAGATTTGCAAGTACCTGTTCCACGTGCTGGCCCACATCTACTCCTCACATTTTAAGGAGACTTTGGCACTGGAGCTGCATGGACATTTAAACACCCTGTACACACACTTCATCCTATTCATCAGGGAGTTCAACCTGGTGGACCCTAAAGAGACCACCATCATGGACGACCTCACAGAGGTCCTCTGCAGCAGCGGCAGTGGGAGTGGGGGTAGCAGTAACGGGAGCGGCAATGGTAGCAGCGCCGGAGCACAGAACCACGTGAAGGAGAGATGAGCCTTCCCCTAGGATCAAAACTAACATTAACCGAAAAACAATATTCTATATCCTATGTGTGTATGCGTATGTATATGTGCCGATATATACGGACATACACAGCGATGAGTTTGAGAGAATGCTGCCACCACAGGACATGTAGTCATATGGGAGTGTCCGGAGCTTTTGTTTAATGCACCACCTGGCGAGAAGTTGCACCAATTTTATTTTATTTCCCTCCCGCTTCCTCTTCCTTTCTCCCCATTCAGACAGATGCTGAGTGCTGTTTTTAGAGAAGAAACAAGGTTTTGAATCAGGCTGCTGTTTTTCGGTCAGTCTTCGGTCGCGAGTGCAAGTCCTCCTGTCTGTCTTTCTAGGATGGTGGTACTGCCATTTTAAAAATATATCTAATTATGTTATCAGAAGTGACTTTTACTTTGAAGTGGCTTAATGCAGATTTTTTTGTTTTGTTTTGGTTTTGGGTTTTGGGTTTTGGGGTTTGGTTTTCGGTTTGGTTTTTACATAGACTGCCCCTTCCCCTGCCAAACTTCCCAGCCGATTGCATCTTGCCCTTGGCTGTCATGGAACGGGAAGAAGAAACTCCTGGCTTGACTAGAGTAGTAGTAGGGGCTTGCAACACATTTAGCAGGTGTGACTCCCATCTGTCCCATCTACCTAGTCACGGTGTGTGAACCTGCAAGAGAATCCACAAGCCTGTCTGCTTAGTGCTCCTACCAAATATTTACTAGTTTCTCTGCCCCTCCCCTGCCTCCAGCTCCTCCTTTCCCAGGCATGCATCCAAGAGCAAGTGCAGTGAGATTGCTGGGGTCTGAACCCCTCTGCGTATGAGCCACAACCATTCATTTCCCATTGAAAAGGGAGCCCGGGGGAGGGGAGAAGGGTGCACTGAGTCAGTCACCGCCTGTGCTAGAGAGATGGCTGTTGGCATAAAATTATATTGTTGGCTTATTTTAGTTCATCTGTTCAATAATAAAAAAATTCTATCAGGCACCAGCCTCATTTCTGTGTGCGCAGCGTCACAAGTCAAGAAAACTGCCCACAGAAGATGCAAGGGCTGGTTTGCCAGGAGTTAACACAGGGTGCTGATGGGTTGGCACACTGTCCATGGAGCTGGGTTGAAAACGATGCCATCAACCAGTGCAAACAATTCTAATACCACCTTTTTTTAAATTTTCATTACTAAAATGCTCATGCTGTTGCATGCCCTTAACATGATTGGGGCTCCATAGTACTAAATGCTGCACAAAGAACTGCACAGTGCTCCTGGGCTGAACAGCTTATGGTCTTGGAAGTAAAAGAACATGGCTACAATCCTGCAGATGCATCAGATGCTGGTTAATTTGCCGCTGGGTATCTCTTATGAATCCAGTTCAAGCAGGATGTGAATTTGGGAAGAACTAAGTCTGTCTTAGTTGCATTTCTAATGGTCTTTTTACAAACAGTTCTTGAGATCACTCCTGTGTATAGACAGTGTCATACACTACCAGGGTAACTATGGAAATATGGAATTGCTTCTCTTGCCTGCTTTCATATCCCACCTAATCGGTGCATAAACATTCATCTCCCCATTTTTGAGCTCTGAAAAGAAGGTAGGTTAACTGTGGAGGCTGATTTATAAATTTAGGATATCTGCTGCTCTTGAGCATGACTTTCACAGATCTGTTTCGTAACCTCTGAAGAATGTGCCACTATAGGGTGTGCACCAGTGTTGGGTAAGTGGTGCTACTTGCTTACATGCAGCTGCAAAAGGTTTGATTCTCCTTAAATTAAGGGGTAAACCTCTGCAGTGTCAATGGGTTTCATATCTGTGCCCTGCCTATGCTGTGGTGAAGCCTTTGCATAGAAAGCACCAAATTCTATTGCTATTTATTTATTTGATTTATACCCTGCCCTACCCAGACAGGCTCAGGGCAGCTTACAGTAAATGACAAGTAACTCAGAGTTAAGAAACAGTAGGTTCAACCAACACCCTAAACTTCTAAAGTGATCCCTATCCCACACACTCCCAATTCCCTGTCTGTCATCCAAGACAGCAAGCTCTCAGGCATGTAAACTTTTAGAAACAAATGCTGCCTTAACTCAAAGCAAAGCTTAGGTCCACTGATAGCCATTTAGGCAGCCAAACCTCAGTTTTTTCAAGCTATGCAAGTGGGACAAGCAAGAAACCCCGAGGTGGGATTTGAACCCATCTCTCACCAATTTTCTAACGTTGTGCTTGGACCATCAGGATACAAGTTGAGCATAAGCTTGGCTCTTCTCCAGCCTTCTTCCTAGAGCAGATCCACTGCTCCTGGCATTTAATAGCCATTGGCTAAAATAGATGGAGAGTGGTGCAGTGGGGAATATTTCTGTCCCATTGAGAGCAAGGATCCAGACTAGAACTGTAGACCTGCTCCTTCTATGGCCACATCCTCTAGCTTCAGCTCTTCCTCTTGGCCTTCTGTATCTCCTTTTTCTTGGTTACCCAGCTTCAAAAGGAGGACTGGAGAGGGGCCTAGCTAATGCCTGACCTGTGGTATAGCTGTCCTGGGCAGTCGAGAGAGAAGCAGGTTCAAAACCACTCGTGGAGGCTTAGAATCCCAGGTGTCCTGGGTGTGTGCCTTAAACACTCAGCTATTAGGGCTGCAACATGGGGAGCCCCTCTCCACACCCTGTTCCTGTCTGACATTTCTAGTCATGGGATTTTGCTAGGCAGAATAATGTGATTTATGCTTGCCCAGCTTACACACCTATAGAGCCACAGCCCTGCCTGGCCATTGCGTAGCCTGCTGCACCTGCTCATTAGCCATGTGGACATTTATTTACCTATGCTGCATTGGTAATGGAAACACAAACGACACTGAAGTGCCAAAAATACAGCTGGAAAACTGCCATTTGGGCATTTAAACAGGCAATAAACTTTAGCCCCTGGTGTATACATGCTGTATCGGGTGCAAGAAAAGCTACCACACAAATGCAGTATGTGAAATGCTGGAAGCCTCTGTAATAAGCCAGTTCAAGGGTGCTCAACCAAGGGCCCACAGGCCAGATCTGACCCATGGGGCTCATCCCCACAGGTCCAGAAATTTTTTGGGGTGGTGGCATCATCAATTGCTGCTTCCCAGCTGCCCAATTTCCAAATCCATGGAGAGCCCCAAGGGGGTGTGGGTGGGGAAGAATAGTGCAGGGCTGAGGCACCACCAGGCTTGATTTAGGCATGCGGGGCTTGACCCCCACATGGGATCCAGGCCCTGTGCCACTCATCTGGTTTATAGGGCTAAAAGGTTGAGCACCACTGAGCCTAGGTGATGAATTCCTGAAACAAGCTGCTTAAAACCATTTCTCCCATAGAAATGTATCTCATTAGTGGGATTGTCATCTGCTAGTAGGAGCATTCAAGACTGCTTGCTGCCTCTAACTGAAGTTGTTAATTATGTGTTAAATAAACTACTTCTTTGAGAGGACTAATCGCAAAATAGACTTCAGGCTTGTTTAAAGTGGGGAACTTTTTTTAGTCCCAGGACTTGGTTTTAAAACATGTTACTGTGTTAGAAGAAAATTTCTTCCTAAAGATAAACCCCTTCAAATGAATTAATATTCCAGTTCACTAGGGAAACCTGGAGAGGAGATGGAGACTTTGCTACACTGGCTTGGATCAGTGCTGATTCCCTCTGCACGGAGACTGCTCCCAGCTTGTGAAACACAGTTGTCCTCTCTTCTACTGAACAAAAGGGGAAATCACACGTGTTCCTTCCAGGATGGGTTTGACAACCAAATGGTTCTGAAATACCTGATTGCTCTTAGGGATAATGCTTTCAGGTTAAAGGAAGGAGCATCAGGTAAAAAGGAGCCTGTACTTCCCTGCCATCAAATCTGCATCTCCTGCCGGCATTAGAATCGTTCTGGAACTGGTTTAATGACATCTAAACTCTTACAGAAGCAAAATATGCTAAAATCAACCCTGATGCCCTTTCCCTGGTTACTACTTCTTGTGTGATCTAGGATTTCACAAAGGAGGAAAATGTTGCTGTGGGTGAACTGGATGCGAATGATGTATATGCACACATCTCTGTAATTCTCAAGACAGCTGAATTCAAGTGCATATAGTAGTATGCTCTACTGTACTGTATTGCTACCTGTGGAAGTGGCAGCTGTTGTTCACAGGAAGCTACCAACTGAACCCAGGCATCTGTCCCGTGTTTAATCTGCATAGGTTCAATTTATAAAAGAGATTCATCATCCAGGGCAGTGGCCTTCCAGGTCCTCATTTTATCAAACACTGGTACAAGGACAAGAAGGGTAGATAGAAGCCTGTCTCAGTGCAAGAGACCTTGAGATGTACAAACTGATGCCTGCCTCTCTTGCTCATCTGTCAGTGCTGTAGACCTAATTTCCTGTTGCCAAAAGCAGTACACTGATGGCCTTCTGCTTATTCACACAGCAGGCCAGCAACACTAAATTTTCCCATGCTCATGACCAGATGGGACTATGTTGAGGAATTAGAGAGATCAGGCCCAATGCTAGTGCTCAGTGTAGGGTTTGAGTTAAGATTAGCAGGTATTTGTATCCCTAAATTACTGCTGCATAAGACAAACCAAGTCTATTTGCAAATGTCACTGAACGATTTTTATAGGGTGACTGTAATAAAGGTGTAATGCAGAGGAGTGCTAATAAGAATTGGGCCTAAATTCTCAAACCTGCACCTTGGTTTGTCAGTGAAGTTCCCTACATATCAGGCAGTTTTGGGTATTTCCAGAAGCTTGACAGTGCTGTAAGACTGACTCATGGATGGCTGTCCTGTCATCTTACCATTAACTTAAAAAAAAAAAAAAAAAAAAGCAGCTATTTAGGTAAGAGGTGACAAGTCCTGTTCCATTCAAGCAATTTGACTTTCTGTGCATAGTCGACTTCTGTAGTCAAGAAGCAAGTGAATGCAAAGGGCTGGTATTTTTTGTGGGGAGTTTTGAGTCTAAAAAGGTTGCAAGCCACAGAGTTAGTGCTTACTACAGGGCACACTATGTGGGGCCGAATTTTCAAAATTGAATGGTGTGCTTTGGGAATCTAATATTCCAAAATGAATATTTAAGGTGTCATGTTAGGACTGCAAAAAAAAATAAAAATTGAAGAGGTGGGTGCATCAAGCATTTGTGCAGTGGCATGATGATATCTTCTGTTTTGTTTTCAACTCCCTTCTTAATGATGCCCACTGTTTTACTGTGGGAGGCAAAGATTTCTTAGGGTGATATCTTTTTTTGGACCAGCTGTGTAGTTGGGATAAAGTTAGACAAACTTCCAAATGCCTCTGATTATAGGAAGCCAAGCAAAGCAAATTAAGCGCAGCATAGGGGAGGGGATGAAAGAAGTTCTCAGGCACAGCAGGCGCACAATTAGCAAAAGAAGCTGATTACTGGAAGATCAAAGCCCATCAAAAAGCAGAATGGGGGGAGTCAGTCTCACCTTCCTTGTGTAGAAAGTATTCAGGCGTCAGATTATAATGGGCCATAAATCCAATATCAGTCTTTAGTCCTTGATTCTTAATGTCCAGCCAGCTTATGCATTTTTGTTCCCAATTTCACCTTTTAAAGGCATTGGGTATATTTCCCTTGAGCACGAGGATAGCGAGGTCAAAGATGGAGTGGTTGTTCTGTGAGAAATGTGCTCCTAATGATTCATAGATTCAGACATTAGGGCTGGAAGGGACCTTGAAGATCACAGAGTCCAGCCCCCTGCCCCAGGGTTCAGGAAGTCAGCTGGGGTTAAAGGATTCCAGCAAGATAAACATCGAAACATTTCTTGAAAGAGTCCAGAGTAGGTGCCTGCACCACTTCTGGAGGGAGTCTATTCCAGGCCTTGGGGGCTTGGACAGTAAAGAAGTTTTTCCTTATGTCCAGCCTAAAACGGTCATGGAGGAGTTTATGCCAGTTGGTCCTTGTTCTCCCTTGGGGCGTTCTGGTGAACAGACATTCCCCCAGATCCTGATGCGCACCCCTTACGTACTTGTAGGCAGCC